AAGCGGCGGAATTACGCGCCGGTGCGAGTCGTCATCTCGGCGAGGAGATTTCCTGGCGACAACGCGACGCGAAATGGCCGGAGACGCGGAACGGCAACGTCACGAGTCACGAGAATTTTGCTCGTGCATCGCCTCGGATCGCCTCGATCCGCATCGTTTCCAGCGACAAGCCGAAAAGCGCGGGCCAACGGCCCCCGGTCTAACGCGCGTCTAACGCGCCTCATCGTCATTCAAATCGCGTTGCGTCAATTTGCGCGTTCGCTTTGTCCGATCTCGCCGCCGCTCGCTCGCTCGCTCGCTCGGCGCCCGATGAAATAGCCGAAACGTTATTACCGACAATGCGCGTCGATCCCCGGTAGAAATTCCGACGCGACGTGGCGAGAGAAGAGCGGCGGGGCCCTATGGGGGCGGAGGACGAGGGGGAGGGGGAGGGGGAGAGGCACGGGAGGAGGGGCGGTAAAAAGGAGGATGCAGATTCCGCTGTGCGCCCACGCATCGTCGGCGACCTGCAGCGCGAGCTCGAGAGCGTGAACGCGCGCGCCGCCTGGAATTTCCGTCCCGCCGCCGTCGCGTATCCCGCGGAATTACGTAAGCGCGACGTCGTCGCCGTAAAAGAAAAGCGCAACTTGACTGTGACCTACACAGCGGCCGGAGTACGCGCGGCAAGTGCGCGCGGAATCCTCGTCCCTCCTTTCCTCGCGCGAGCCGAGCCGAGCCGAGCCGAGCCGAGCCGAGGAGCGGCGCCGATTGACCGGGGGTGTCTTTCAACCAAGAAGGGACTACACCCCCGCCAACTTGAAAAGCCCCTCTTAGAAGCGGAGGTTCTTACCGTCCGCCGCGATAAGCACGAGCGGATGTTCGTTTACTCGTCCTTTTTCCTCTGTATCGCTCGCGCGATCCAAGGATTCCAAACGTCGGACCTGACCCAGATCAACTTCGTTCAACTTGAGCTGCGCGCGTCAGCGCGCGTAAACAAGCTCGCTCAGCCCGGCTTGACCGTATCGGCGACACGGATTTCCTCTCACCGCCGCGGCGTCCTCGTCTCGCGGGTAAGGATGCTGATTTTAAATCGATTTAATCGAAGATCGGAGGCTAAAAGATCGATTTCAAATCGATTTTCTGGAACTGAATCGATTCAAGGATCGATCTGCAAATTCTGAAAATCGCCAACACGATTTTTTCAGTTTCTACTAGTAATATAGTTTCTTTTTACTTCTTTTAGTTGTAACATTTGAACTCACTCAATGGTTGCACAATGCATATTAATTATGTTGCCTTTAGACCGATGTCCCATGGGTGAGAATTTTCAGCGGAACGAAACGCGCGAACCAATCACAGTCACTCCATACAATAGTATACATTGTATACATATGTATATGCATACAATAGTAATTTCTTATTAATTATCAATAACGTAATATTAATAACGTTTAAAAACTCTTGATTGACCTTTAATCAAATTAAATTCTATAAAATCTCATTAAATTCTAAGCATAGAGATTTAAAGATCTTTTTCTATTTTGTTCTTTTCTATTTTGTTCTGGCCACACACACACACACACACGCAGAACATAACCAAAAGAATACCATATGTTTAATTTCTTTAATTCATATTAAAATTTAATTTCTTTAATTCATATTAAACTATATGAATTACACGAGGTCTACTTTAGAGTGTGGAAATTTGACAGATAATATACTTTAATGAGTGGTTCACTCTACATGCATACCGATTCAAATCGATTTTCTGAAATCGATTCTTTATAAACCGATATTTTAAACATCGATCTTTCCTCCGTGATTCGAGTCGAATCACTTGAAATCGATCTGTTTGAAAAAGAATCGGCATCCCTACTCGCGAGCGCGGAATGTCGGGTTTGGAGAATCCTCCGTGGGAGGCGCCGCGCGAGACTTGTCATTCGCGTTTTGGTCGCGAGTCTAGAATTCGCGCGAAATGTTCTTCGCCGGCGAACTCGCCCTGCGTTCTCGCTTCTCCGCGAACGCGATGTCAGGCGAGGCGCCCGCTGGCGAAAATACTGCCTCTCGGGAGCACGCGGGAAATTGCGTTTCAAGGGTCCTTGTTAATTATTCTGCTACTTGTTACGTGACACTCGCGTCGTTGCCGTCGCTGAGGCAGTCAGACCTAGATGTAGAGTTCGGATCAGCCGGCTTTTCCGGATGAATCGTGCGATACACGGGACGCGTTGTATTTAAAATAACGCTGGCCAACCGTGAGAAACATATTTAATCGTGAATTGAAATCGGAGCACCTCACTTTTTCATTCGTACCGGTATAAATACGAGCGAACGCTGCGATAGATTTAAATGAATTCTGTCCCTGCGCGATGCGTTAAATTCTCGCCCTTCGATTTCGAACCCACGCGGGCGATCGCACCGAGTGGGAAAACACGCGCGAAAAGCCAATCTCCTTTCCGAGCGGAATCGCACTCGGAGAGATTGAGAGAATGCTGCGTGCGTGTGCATGTAAATAGGAAAAATTTTATCGCACGCGATCGCGGCAAATGATTGTTGGATCTCGGCCTCAGGGTTAAACCGCCGCTCGCGACGCGGGACGTTTCGCAAACGGGATTCCAGCCGGATCGCGCGCGTGACGCGAGTCCCCCGAGAGTCCGTCACACGTTGTAAATCAGCGGCAACAAGGCTCGTCATTTTTCTATTTCTTACGAGCCGCCACCTTGCCAACGTGCAATGACTCCTCGCCTTGTGCGCAATTGTGAATCATCGCGTAATATCCTCCGACCTTACTCGCCGGGCGGGGAGCGAACGTAACGAGACGCGGCAGCAGCCGGTAATTAAATATTTCACACGCGGACCTGAGATACGCATCTCTCGCGTGCGCTGCCGCGGAAGGCGCTGCAAAAAGTATCTCCCGAGATATCATCCATAACTGCACATAATGGCGGGAAAATGTATACACTTGCGCGCGCGCGAGGCGCTGCGACGAGTTCGAGGACGCGAATCTACGCGGTAGCTTCGAAGCGCGATGAAAAAACTATCGAATACAGATGGCTGCATCCGGAAGAAAGTAATTTTACAGCAAACGGAATTATCTAAATTTTAGAGGATTTTACTCTTTTGTATATGGCCTCAAGAGGATTCTCGATCTGGGATTAAGAGAAAAATATTAAGAGAAGAATATTCTTAAAGTTAGAGGGATTATATGTTATATATATATATATATATATATATAATGCAAATATATAATGCTTATTGATTTTAATATAAATTTCCTCTTACACGCAGATTATTTAATATTTTTTTAAGAGGATTATTATTTATTCTTACTGCACTTTATTCTTACTGGTTACACTGGTTAATTTGAAAAAATTATTATAATGTATATATAGCGAAAAGTAATATATTATGTCGTTCATCTCTGAAGGTAAAGCATGTCTGAACAACAGAAGCCGACATTCAAATCCGACACATATTCCTCTTCATATAAGAGGATAATTAATTGATATAAGAGCAAATCACCTCGAGATAAGAAGAAGACAGAATATCTAATAAATTTCAGATGAATGATTCACTTTAATCGCTTCATTGTTATTCCCCGTATTTAAATTATTACTCGTACTTGATAATTGATATCGCCAGCGGCCAAAAGCTCCTAAAAGTCATGATATTAATTATGTCATTAATTGAGAGCCAATTTTCGACGATTCCGGTCCGATTCGCGCATCCCCGACAACCACCGATGCTTATTTCTATCTCTCCATCCATCATGCATCCCCCTCGAGAATTGCAGAGATCCAGCAGCAGACACCGGGAGAAAGGGAACTCGTGCGGCGAAAACTCCAGCGCGACGTCGCGCCGCTCTTGTTCGTGTGCGCGAATGAAACCCGCGGCGAGTGGACGGAGCGCGGCGCGGCGCGGTGCGCCACGCTCGCTCATGAATATTTAATCTTCCTTGAACAATGTGGCAAATAGTCATTATCCGTACGTTCCGATTAAATTAACGATCGCGCAGCACCGCGCTAACGTGTCGACGGCTAACGTGTGATTTCTCACGCGCGCGTTGTGCAAGCAGCTTTGAGCGCGCGAGCGAGGGAGAAGATCGCGACGACGGATCGGTCTCCGAGGTCTGCGAGGTAGCATCGAGCGAATCATCGCTGACCGTCGTCCGCATCGTCGCGTACCTGCGTCCTCCACGGAGAAGAGCTCGGAGGAGGGCCAACGACGAGCCTCCGTCGATCGGCGGCGCAAGTAGAGCGTGCACATCGCGCACGAGAGTAGCGGATCCTTTTGCTCGTAGCTCGCGCTCGGAGAGCGGCTGCGCAAGGGTTCGCTCGTGTGAACTCGAGCTGAGGAAAGCTCTTCCGAGGTCTTGGCGCTTGTTACTTTGCGCACACCCGGTAGACAACGAACGAGCGAGAGAGTCTTAGCATTTGTTCGATATGACGGAGACGCCAAGTGCGCCCGGCGGCGGTCGAGGTGTCTCCGTTGCTATATAAATCGGACATTTCTATACTCGAGCACGCACTCGAAACGGAAAATGTCACGCTCGTGTTTGCACAAGTGCAACTAGAGACGAGATTAATTAGCGTTCCTCCCGTGCATCTCGCCCGTGCAAAAACGCGACGCGGTGATGTCAGTGGAAAAGAGAGAGTACTCCGACAGATGTCGTGCTTGATTTCACGGCGTATTGTAATTTTATTTCGCCACCTCCTCTTCCTCTTGACCGAATATTTTCCTCTTCGGAAATAAATAAGACGGAGATAATGATAAATGTAAGAATCGACTGCTTACTCCCGGAATTGACTCGCCACTCACCTCGGTCGCGCGAGCGAGCTTACTCCGTCGACCCGCGTTTGTCCTTCTGAGAGTCACAGGCGATAATGAGCGCGGCGATAAAGAGACACCAAAGTGTTTCCGCGCGCGTTTCCGTCCGTCAAAACAGAAAGAGTAGAAAGAAAAGAAGCATCACGAGAGAAAACGGCTATTCGAGCTCACGGAAGCCTCTATTCTTCTGTTTCTAGATGTTCTCGCGTGTTAAGCTGAAGGGAGAGAGAGGGAGAGAGAGAGAGAGAGAGAGAGACTCCGGCCAGCGCACTCACAGCCGACCCCGACCACGAGGTCAGCATTTGCCAACGACCCTCCAGCAGCAGCCCTTCGTTCTCCCTCCGAGGGGGATCCAACCACCGTGGAGTCCGCGCGACCTACTCCAGCCCGGTGAGTCTCTCGATCGTGCATCTATCTCTGCCGTGGCGGCTTAAAGAGAGCGTGTGCGTAGAACACGCCTGCACGTTCCTCTCACTCTCTCTTTCTTTCTCTCTCTCTCTCTCTCTCTCTGTCTCTCTCACTCTCTCCCTCTCCCTCTCTCTGTGCGTGTGTATATGCACATACGCGCAATGCACGCACGTAACGTAGCCGAGCGACGCGAGCGAAGCAAGGAGGGGTCGAACTGCCGCCGCCGCCGCCGCCTGCCTGCCTGCCTGCCTGCCTCTGGAGGTGGAAGTGAGGGAGGAGAAGGAGGAGGAGGAGGAGGGCTAGGTAGTGTAGTATCGGTCATTACCTCCGCTACGAGTAACTGGGTCAGTCGTCACACAGCGCCTCTCTCGGTTCGCTCACACTGGCTGCACGTTTTGCAGCGTTCTCCCTCTCTTCCTCTTCCTCCTCCTCCTCCTCCTCCTTCTCCTAGCCATCCTCCTTCCCTCCGGCACCCATTCGCCTCCGCCGTGCGCGACCCTCTCGCGCCCTCTCCGTCCCTCCGCCGCACGCGCGTTTTCCCTCCCTTCCTCCTCCGTCTCCTCCTGCACCTCCTCCCACCTCGCGCACCCCCTCAGCTACGTTCTCAGCGGTCGGAACCTTCCGCGCGGTTCTCGAAACGGCCCGAGGGAGGTCAGACCTTGGATTCGAAGCACCGTGCGGAAAATATCCGTCTCTCTGCGTGCGAGCGCGCTCTTACCGCATCCTTTGCTCTCGCTGAGAGAAGCATTTTTTAGGATTTTCAAAGAGAGAAAGAGAATGAGAGAAAGCGAAGGGAAAGAGAGACTGGAAGTCTCAGACTCTCGCCAAGAGGTTAGCGATCCCGTGTTAACGCCCGTGGAATAGGGAGGAGGGCGGGGAGGGAGCGCGAATGCATCGCTTATTGCGACACTGCTGGATTTGTCCGCCGGCGAGAACGCGCTGGGCTTAACGTTCGAATTACGTAAGTAAGATGATTAGAAAAGTCTCTCCGCGGATTGTCCCGCGCGAGATGTAAGTGTCGTAAGGATGATAAATAATACACGGATATTGCCGAGTGTTAATTTCACGTCTCGCCGCGGTAACGGGAATAATGATTGCGCCAGACGAAACGCCGCCCGGATAAGGCAAGAGGCCGCGCGAGAGACGACGTCTAACAGATGTCCAATAAAAACGTCAAAATCCTCGGTCTCAAGGTTTGCGTTTTGCGGATTTGCAGTGTCGTTCAGATGAGTCCTCTCTCTCTCTCTCTCTCTCTCTCTCTCTCTCTCTCTCTCTCTCTCTCTCTCTCTCTCTCTCTCTCTCTCTCTCTCCCTCTCTCTCTCTGTTTCCCCCTTTTCCTCTTGATTTCTGTCGCCTCGCGACCGCGCAGCAGTCGTATCGCGCGAACGATCGGCTGTTTCGTCGCATGCGTGAAATTTTGGCCTCCCGGCAAATTATCCCGCGGGGATCCTGTCAGAGCCCGGTGAATTACGACGGACGAGGCGCGTCTCGCACCCTTATGAAAGACGCGCAGGTGTTGCGCCGGTAAATTTACCGGGGCGCTGTAATAGGAGGCGGACCGAGTCATTGGGCCGAGCTCCGTCAGTTTGTTTTATCATAAACCCTCCATCATGCTTCGCGCATCCCTTTCTCCCGCAAGCGTGTTATATGGGAACTATTTTTGCCCGACTCCGCGCGCACACTCCGGCGGCGCGAGGGATGAAAAATCGTCCCTCTCGCCGGAGACTTCGCCAGCACGTAAGAATCCCCGCGTGTATACTCGGCGATATAGGTATACAAGCGCGCCCTTCGCCAAATTCGACGACGGTCGAGTCGCGCAAATGCGGTTGCAATTATTCCGCATCTGCAAACTAGCCCCCCTCTGCTAACGTTATCTTCGTTTTTGTGTCTCGTACGTATATTAATATATATATATATATATTAATAATAAAAATTATAATAAGCGTAAAATTTATAATATATATATATATATATATTATAATATATATATTATAAATTTTACGCTTTCATATATATATATATATATATAATATATATGAAAAATCCCACATTATACTTTTACGTTATGTATTAATATTGCATCGTCCGTATTATTTACATTATTTATAATTGATATTGCCCACGTGCTACATAACCGCGCTTTTGATGCTTTTATTTTATATTTGCCTGCGTACGATTTCTTTGATGATGGCACATGAAAGATCGTTTAGCTCGATAGCGGCTCGCGAACGGATCGATTGTTATCGCATGTGCGCTCGGCGGTTTACAAGCACTCCCGGTGCATTTCCGCGCGCGAAAAATCGCCAACGCACTTTGGCGCCGTTTCCGAGAGCTTTTAGCCGCGGCATCGCGACCGCCGCGGCGGCGTTGCGCGAAAGTTTCAGAAAGCGCCGCCACGCACCGCCGCCGCCGATCCGACGTCTTTGTCGAAAGCACGCGCGTCTCAGGAATGTCACGCTGGAAAAACGCTTCTCGTGTGCGCGCGCGTCTGTTCTCGATCGGCTCGATCCGCGCGCAGCCTCGAAATAGAATCGACGAGCTCCGTGGGATTTTGCAGTCTCGTTGCTCGTAGTAAACACGGCGAGTTCAAGGATGCGTTCGTATCTCTTTCACTCCCTCCCTCCCTCCCGCCCTCTCTCCCTCCCTCCCTCTCCCTCTCGCGAACACGATAAAATTTCGAAATCTCTCTTTCGTAACGCGGTTATCGCGATTGAGAATCGCTGTCGACCAGCTGTGCACTCCTCTTCCTCGTCTCCCCCCCCCCCCCGCTCCCCCCTTCCGCTCGTCCTCTATTCGGGACTATTTCCAGCTGTTAATCTGCGCTATTATCACCGCACGGCTATATTTTCGACGGAAATTAGATCGTTCGCTTTCGCGCGGTCTCAACGCGCCCCGCGATGACTCGCGACGCCGATCGACCGACTCGCGCTCGTCCCGGCTGAGTAACTAAACCTCTCTCGCATTCGCAATTTTTACGTCCCTATTATTAGGTAGATTTTATAGCCACCGTTATTTCTCTTCTGTGTCGTAAATACGCGCCGTGTTGCTGAAGAAACACCGACATCGGCTTGCATAAGCCGAACGCGCAGGTGACGCGTTCTGCGTCTCAGCACCCCCACGTGATCGTTATTCATTATCAGTCTGAATAACAGGTCGATCATAATGCAATGCTTGCTGCGTGATACGCTGACAAAGTAGCCGCTGTCGATCTCTCTCTCTCGTAGCATCGTTATCGCAATTATCGCCGACCGATCCACGTGTCTCGCAGGACTTGTCGCCAATTTTTTCCCGGAGCTAGTTGAAACTAGTTCTCTCGAAGCTACCGATACAACGGAACTGCATCAGGCTGCAAATCGAGTCGCCGCGGCGCGTATCCTCGCAGACCTCTTTCGAAACACCATCGAAAACAGAGAGGGAGATAGGGAAAGAGAGAGAGAGAGAGAGAGAGAGAGAGAGAGAGAGAGAGAGAGAGAGAGAGAGAGAGAGAGAGAGAGACGTGTCATTAATAATTGAAACTCCGAAAAGTCCCGAGCGTCGCGTTTTCACGGCGTCTCGCAAGGAAGAGCCCTCGGCTGAGAAGCCTCTCGTCGCCGAGAGGTCCTCGCGGCAGGGAGTAGCCACGGTTCGCGGTGGTTCGCGGCGCGATAAGGATGCGTTCAAGGCTCGCCGGTCGATGACCAAAGTTTAAGTGCACGCACGCAACGGTCGAGCGACGCACGTGAAACCGCCGGTCCACGTGACGTCGTCGTCCGGGTCGCGCTCGAGCTCGGCTTTCGCTTCGTTATGCAACCGGCCGCTCGAAGGACAGCTCGGTGCACAGTTTGCGACGGCAATTACGCTCCACAAGCGGAAGAGCGGATCGCCGCTCGACAGGGACGCGCGCGGCGAGGCGAGGGCTCCGTATGCACGCACCGTTCCCGGTAGCGTTGGTGGAAAAGCAGCGGGGGAGGTAGCGGGGGGAGGGGGGTGAATGCAGGCGAGAGACGGCAGGAGGGGGGGGGCGGAGCATTGCTGGACTAATTCGTCGGCGGCGGTATTAGCATTTGCCGTGCGAATGCCTGCTATCGGACATTGCTAATACAACGGCGTGACGAGACGCGCGCGGCGCCTGCGATCGACAGGCGTATCGCGGCTGCAATCAGGTTCGAGGTTGAACCACGTCCGTCGCTCGAAATCGCGCCACCGGATCCTCTCCTGCGCGATGATCGGGAATTATGCTCGCGAGGAGGCCGCGACATCTCCGGGATCGCCGGAGGCTCGCAGTTTCCGTCGTAAACACGCGGCTTATGTTTTGCGCGAAATGCGGGACTGTTTGAGGTGTCCTCGGTTGCTTTTCAATGGCAATAATTTAATTCTTCGTTGTTACTTACTTCGTCTCGGGGAGTAGGAAAAGAGAGAGAGAGGGAAGGAGCGAATAAGAGATGAAAGCATGTCTATTTATATTTTATGAATCGCAAGGAATTGATACTTTGTAAAGAGCTTTCCTGTGCGCGGGGATATATCGACGTCGATTTGATCGCTCGAGATGGAAAAAGCGAGGGAGAGAGAGAGAGAGAGAGAGAGAGAGAGAGAGAGAGGGGAGGAGAGAAAACGAGTTCAAACGCGAGTCACATGCGGTCTTCGAAACAACATGAATTTTCTATACGGCGCCCGTGCCAAATAAGTTCGCGGAGCAGAATAAAACGAACACGCCGATGGTAGTCGTACGGTTATCTTCGATCAGGAGTGACCCCAAAACCTTCGAAGGATGCGTCGCGGAGTGGGTTACTGGAACCTCAGCGACCGTTCACGTTCTTCAATGGAATGGTCGTCTCACGACTCGCGATTACGTCTTCCCGATAAAGTCGAAATCTCGCAATACATTTCGCGTGTATGAAACGGGAGAAAAATACAATAAATGTTTCTCCAGTCGTGTCGAGATTTTGATCTCGCATCAAGCCTACGCAAAATTTCATAGAACTCGAATAAAGAATCTCGAGATG